ACCCCATGCCTAGAAGTCTTAGGGTTAAATGGATTTGGGGCGTGAGAGTTCAGGGGTTCAGGGTCTAATGAACTTTTGTGATCTGGGGTAGCTGCGTGGCATCCCTCCGCAGTGAAGTTGTGCTTGGCATGTACACGCCTATAGTCTTCATTGTGGTTCCTTGTTTGAATCTTCGGAACCCAGAAAGGAAGTACAATGGAGACTGCAGGTAGGCCCAGGGGTTAAGGCCACGAAGACTGCAACTCAAGCGCTTAACGATGGCTTGATGTCGAGTATGGAATTCCACTGTCACGGTTGACAGGCCCTACTCTAACCTTGAAACCATTGTAAAGGTTTATCAACGAAAAGCCTGCATACCTTAGACCCCCTGCAGCCTGAACTGTAAAAGCCCTGTAGCCTCAGACCATATTATTGCCCTACATGCAAGCAGCACCTTCTCAACTCCAGTCTGCCAAGCCACTCTCATCGTGCCAAGGTCACGAAGCGTGTAACGTAGAAACCCACATAATTCCGTAGGGCTCCTCATTTTTTCGTACATGTATATACCCCAAAACCCTATTCTCCACACGCGCTGCACATTACTCCCGCTGACTTCTGTGCGGTCTGCACTGACAAACAGCAAATTTTCACATTTTTCAGACCGAAACTGTGCTATACCGCTGAGCTTGCTAAAAGCAAACCGCCTCCTCGGGTTGCTGTAGTCAATGATTCTTGAATTGCAGCCCCGCCTGACTGCAAAGTTAAACTGTGATTGCTCAGCTAACTACTTGAAACGTGGAGTAAGCTTACACTTGATGAAATGCGAGCTAGATTACCTCTAGTTTCGTTGGCCCGAACAGACATCATGTCCGATCACACTCCAAAACCCTGTTCTAAAGATTTAGGCCCCTATACCAGGCAACGCCGATCGATGCAAGACTCAGATTCGGGCTTGGCGTACGGTTCAGGGTCTTCAGGGGTGTCACACGCAGCGCCCTCAGGAAGGTTTTAAAAGTAGGGGTTTGCGGTCCAGGTTTCAGGCTTTATTTTAGGCTTTAGGGTTGACTGTAGGGGGCCTGAATCATTAGATTAGGATTCTCAAAGCCCTAAACCCTGAATCCCTAAACTCTAAACCCCTAAACTCCTGAACCCCTAAACCCTAAACCGTATAGTTTGCTATGAGTATGCCTTATAGGAACCCAAGAGCGTCCATTGTAGATCCTTAGGGTTTAGGGTTTAGGGTGTTGAAGCAGCTCTACGACTCGGAGTCTTCGATAAATGACACCATTGTCACTGATTTCAACAAAGAAGAACTAGAATATGGGTTGAGGGTTTACGGGTTTAGGGTTAAGGGTCTAGAGTGGAGAATTCCAATCCTTTAGCTGGCCATTGTTTTTTGTTTTGGTTTAAGATGGCCCTGCTTAGCGAATTGGGGGTTTCGGGTTCGGGTTGAGGACCTCATGGATTATGGTGAGGGCTTCGTGGATATACGGTTTCGGCTCTACTGTAGGGGCCTAGGGTTGGAATACCGAGAGGAGATTCTTGAAAGCTTTGTCATTTGTCCCGGCCTCTTGTTGTCGTGAGGCGTAACGCCAGCCTTCGGTAGGTGCATAGGTACGTACTTGCAAAGGCTTCTTTACATGCCCACCGATATAAGTACACGAGCCAGAGTACGTCCAGCAGCTCGACGAGCAGACGAGCATGCAGTCAGGCCCAAATTGGAAGCCTAACACTAGCATGGCCATGCCATCAATCAGGACGGTCAGAACGTGTCTACCACGGTGCAAAATACGTATGACATTATGATCTTAAGCATTCGCATGACTGAATTGGAAGTGCAGGCCCAGACCTGTATGGCAGCAATGTCTAAATTTCTGACTTTGACTTGGCTTCTGCAAGCGGGTACAAGCTCATCAAGTATGTGCATGCAAAGCCGGGCCGCGCTTGGACTACGGAAACGGAACGAGTGTTGGCTTCGTACATGTTGGGCAAGATTCGAGTGCAGAATAGTGCACTTAGGTCCGGGAGATCTTGATTTTGCAGTTCAGTGGTATGAATGTAGCCCGAAGCCCTTGCAGCACCCTGCCACGGTAAAAGCATGTTTCGAACACGCTGGTGTGCGGAGGCCATTCTTGGCAGTCTTGTGCATTTCAGGGCCCTGGGAAGTGTGCGTGGTGTAAACGGAGGGCAAAAGTGTGCATAAAGACAGTTTTTGAGGCTAAGCCTTCGATTTGCATTTCCTGGGGACCTTTACTTTACTGATCAAGGTGTGAAAAGCTGGCCATGTGCGATAACTACATTCAAGCCACGGCAGTCCACTGCAGCGTGTCCGACAGCACGCGCCATGTTCCTTCGCCCAAAATTATCAGTGTCATTGAGCACCATCGGCTTATATCTGTTACAGGTCATGGCGAAGCCATGAGGTTCTGAATCCTGCGTTTTCGCACACGATAGCACGCTCAACTCTGTGCAGAAACACAAATCATAAACAAGAGCTAGATGCCTCCCATCTGCAGTGCTGCAGGTTATGCGGTCTAGCCTTGGCGGGCCCATGCGAAATTTAGGCCCTGCGTTTCTGACTTTGTTCTACTTTCGAAGAAGTAATTGCGGAAGATGGTTGTTCATCCTGGATTGACAATTCACAAATTGGCGTTCAAGGTACTAGTGCGGGTGGATTGTGGGCATTGAGTACTCGGGATGTTGGAATTGGGTCAGCGATCGCTCTCGTCGAAGTCGCATGGCAGTTTGGGATAAGTGCGGTAGGCGGGGCAAGCGATCCAAGCCACAATAATGTAGTTGTCGGTGTTTTAAGTTTAAAATATAGTTTCAAAGCACTTCGAACATATCAACAGCTTGAGTCATGGAATTTTGGGTGCAGTTCAGGGTATGTAGAGCTCATCGTTTTCGGACTTTAAAACGTGGCATTTGCGGGTGTTGGTTTTGGCATGCAGGGCCTCAGAGGGTGATGCAGTTATGCGCGGTGCGGTTTGCGACGCATGCCACGATGACCGAAGCAAGGGCGTGTAAAAGATGTCCAGGTGATAGTACTTGTAGAAGCCTTAATGATGTGTTTCGTTATAGGCGCCCTGATATGTACATGTAGTATCGAGCCACCCATTAACGCCAAACTATTGAGGCCCTTATGTGGTACATCTTGCTTGCAGCTGTTTGCACTAGTCACTGAACCCCAAATCCGGGAACCTTTAAATGCCTTGACCCTAAATCGCTGGACATTTTCTTGAGATCCGAATCTGCTAACCTCAAGCCCCAGCACCGGAAACCCCTACAGCCCAAGCACTGAAACCCAGAGCGCTATCCCTTCAAAGGGACCTTCAAAGGATCCCTTTGAAGAGACCCCCCCCCACTCTATTTCCTATAGGCTATTGGTGCATCTTTTGCTGGGTGTGAGCAACAGGAACCCGCTTCAAGACAACTCGGCTTCTTAGGAAATCTGACCGTTCCCCAGGATCAATTCTATACCCTGGTGGACGGTAGAGCGTTCCAAGAGCCAAGTCAAGTTACTGTTCACACGGTTTTCAAGCTGTTGCCTCACGCTTTTAGGCAAAATTTCGGGCGTTACAATGAAAAGCCGAAGAAAGGTTTGAAGCTGTGGGGGGTTTAAGGTTTTCCTTGCCTGCGAGCGTTGAAGACAAACCCTGTGGGCAGGACCGACCCCCGTTCAGCCAGGACATCTCAACCCCGGATCCTCAAAACATCACCATCCACGAGCACGAAAATCCACTGGCTTCGGCCCTTGGGATTTCAAGCTCAGGATTTGAGCAGAACACTAATGTAGCGGCCCTCGGAAATGATCGGCCCGTGGATCTAAGAAAACGATTGCTTCACGGGGTCAAAGCCTACCCTTCTCGGGGTCGGAACCTACTTTGCAGGCGTTCGGGCTGCAGGTGTGTGTGTGTGTGTCTGCGTCTGTAAATGTATACAGTATACATACATACATACATACATACATACATACATACATATATACATTATATATATATAGACATGCATATATGTTTGTATGCATGCATGCATGCATGCATGCATGCATGCATGCATGCATGCATGCATGCATGCATGTATGTATGTATGTATGTATGTATGTTCGTAGCTGTGCAGCTGTGTGGCTTGTGTATCAGGGTATGGGTTCAGGGTTTAGGGTTTTCGCTCCATCTTGCACCCTCGTTCAGGTAGTGACAGTCAAGGACTTTGGTCAGTCTCTAGTGAGGCGGCTGGGTCAAGCGATGCTTGGCAGATACAGTTGAGCCCTACAAGACGATTTGTACGTTAACAGCGCTTGAGTTTTTTTGAACGACAAAGTTCCTGCAAGAGTTTTAATGAGATTCGGGAGTTTTGGAGTTTGAGGACGAACGTATCCCACAAGGGCTTAAGGCGTAAGGTGCAGTCACGATGAATGGAGAAAGTCATAGTGTCTGGGTGCTCAGGGCAGAGGCCCACTCCTTCGACGGATCCTTTGGTCCTTGCAGGGTTGTGTTGGATGCGAGGCACGCCACGAAACGCTGAACCTGAGCAGCCTCAACTATCCCCAATGAGACACATATGAAATAATTCAATGGCCGCTCCTGAGTAGAATGTCGGAAAACTAGTGTATTTCCAAACTCAACGTCCTCTGACGACAGCGCTGGCGTTTGACCCTATCCAACCCCAAGTATGCAGATACAAAAAGGTTTAGGCCTCATGGCCCTTACTAAAACCCTTTGGACCTATCACAACGCTGGCGCTCAACACTCAAAACAAATCGCAAGCCCCGATCAGGGAAGTTAGTGATTGGGTTTGCAAGTGGGTTGATGAATGCCTTGTAGGGTGAGGGGTTGGGCTTCTCGCCTACTTGCTGCGTCCCGCGAAACATCCTACCGGGCTTGGAAGTTTACTTTACTTGCTAAGTCCGAACCCTTAGCTCGGGCTCCCAGTCCACCCTTTTTGAATCTTAAACCTCGCCTAGACCCGGGTTACAGCTGTAGTCCTTTAGCCGAAAGTCAGAGCTCTCTCTCACCGCCAAGGAGTATCCGGCCTCCATGAGAGCCTCGGACAGAGGTTTAAGGGTTCGAAAGGGTTGATATGTTTTGTTATGCTTGGAGTAGAGTTCCTTCAATAGTTCTGTATCCTTAAGGGTCTATGTATCCCAACAGTATATACTTTGGCCTTAGTGTAGTCCCTACAGAAGTACTTTAGGGCCGGTGTATATAGTATTTGGGTACATGGACCGTTAGGGTATAGGCTTCTATATATTAGGGGTTTGGGTTTTGCTACTTGAGGATTTTTAGGATTTTTGGCTTCAGGGCTTCGTCTTGACCTATAGAAATGTGTCAGCTCTGCGTGTGAGGGCGTGACTCGGGCCAGCTGAAAGACGGCTGAAAGTCTTTAACCTGTGGTTCTGGCGTGCTCCAGACGATCCTCCCTAGGAGCTATTGTCGGATAACGAAGGGCCGTTGGGAATTCCCGAAGCCGGGCGTAAGATTCCGACCAAATCTATTAAACAGCATATGTCACAGTAGTTTTCGAGATCTTAGACATTTCTACATGGATAGGTTTCCGTCTGGGATTATTGCTGGGAGTCATGAAATCATGAGGCCTACGCCAAGGTTTCCACTGCAGTCCCCGCATGTATAAACTCGAGGCACACGCGATCTGATCAAGATGGAAGCCAGACTAACTACCAGTACTATTCCGTGGGCTTCCCCAGTATAGGCTCCCTTCGAATTAACACATACCCGAAGCCGTATTCCAATCATTACGGCCCCTATATC